AGGATGGAAGAGTGTAGAAAGTGTTCCAAAGTTGGTGTCTGAATATATGTCCAAAAAGATAAAAGTGGATGAATTTGTGACTGGCAATCTGCCCTTTGACCAAATTAATGAGGCCTTTGAGCTGATGCATTCAGGGAAGAGTATTTGAACTGTTGTAAAGATTTGAATTCAAGAGAAAAATATGTCCATTTGTAACCTCAGTCTTGTGACCTGAAGGGAACAGCTTGACAGGCAAGGAGATCTTCCAAGTTCACATCCTCTGAGACTTTTTTCAGTTATTACTCCAGGAAATAGTGTTCTATGTGTAGGTAGTTCTTACATCTCTGTAATGAAGGATAAGGCTTACAATCATAAATCTGTTTTCTAGACTCTGCTTTTTACATACACACTTTAAGCTCATTCTAAGGAATATCTGAACACAATAAAAATTTCTACATTTCTAAAAAAAAAAAAATGGGAAAGTGAGTCACTTAGCAAGTGGGCACAAATATGGAACAGGGTCTCTTCCTGTTGGGGGTTGGGCTAGTGACTCATTTCAAGTTGATTGATACTATTTAGGATATCAATCCCTAATGCCCATCCCTAGGGAAGTATGTAGCTGTGCTTCCTCTTTTTGTCTTGGTCTTGAGGTATGGCCCATATGGGAGTGTCTGCCTCTTCCAAGTTGCAAAACATACATTGGCCAAATAAAACACTAGTCAGAACATTTTTTTTTTTTTTTAGGTCCATTAGCAGATCTCTTAAATGTGGGGTTTAAACCTTTTATCTTTCATGGCCATTGGGTACTGTCTCAAACAATTCATGAGAATAGTTCCCCTATTATTACTGGGGAACATGAATTACCGGGCATAGGGAAAACAGTATTTTCCCATTTGCAAGTAGGCCACTGGCTGGGTAATTACTGACAAATCTGTATAAGCAATCTTTTTTTTTTTTTTTTTTGTGGAACCGGGGATTGAACTCAGATCTTTGCATTTGCCAGTCAAGCGCTTATCCTACTGAGCCATCTCCCCGGCCCCTGTATAAGCAATCTATTGAAAGTTTAACAGGATTTCTCCTTATATTGGCAGTTAACATTGGTTCCCTCAGACTGAGAGGGAAGACACAGGACCACCTCAATCTGAAACTTCCTCTGACTCCATCATAAACACTTTCTTTTTCCTTCTCTAGCAACTGTGGACATTTCTGCTTGAAATGTCTCTTCTCTCTGGCTTTCCTGTAGCCTGCTAGTATCCCCATTTTTATTTTCCATCTATAATTTTATTTTGTATCCTTTTTACTATGAAACATCTCAACTCAGACAAATTTATTCCTGCAAACCCTTTTAACTTTTATAGCTTGTGTCAGAAATCTGGGGCTCACTAAGTAAGATATAACTTTTTGGTTTTAGATTTTACCTGTATGATTCCCTGGGTTTTGGTTATTTTCTAGAAGTAACAAATTATCTGAGAGATTAGAACATATATAATCAAAGCATGAACATTCGCACTAATAGGTACATTTATAAACCTTTTTGAGACCTAGCAATCGTAACTCACTAGCTCTTAGACCCCTTTATTCATGGAGTCTTGACAGTTTATTGTAAGTCCCTCTAGCTTTAGTTAAGAGAGGTCACATATGTATTAACTATCAGCATGAAATACTGGAGTTATATTAAAAATCAACCAGGCTTAACAAACGGAGGTTATGAGCAGAATATATTGAGAGAAAGAAAGCTCCTGTCCCGAGAGAGGGACAGGAGGGGGGGGTGAGCGGGTAGTCCTCCCCCCCCCCCATAAGTAATATTTTAAAAGGAAACTTTTTTCTTTCCTGAGCAGTGAGTCTCAACAGTAGGCTTAATAATCAGTACGCCATGTGCTGGGGTTTTTATATTCTTTCTTAAGAGCTGTAGGAGTTTCAGTATGGTGAAATGAGATCTGCCTTTTGTTTGAAGTAACCAGTTGCCTTGAGAGTTAGCCTGTCTTTTGAAGACAGGCCTTGATTTCTCTGGCCATGAAACCCAAAATATCATCTTTCAATAGAATGATGTTTGACTTACCCTGAAAATCTATTAATTGTAGCCATTTCCATTAATGACTAGCTATGCCTTATGGGTAACTTACTGCAACATCTTCATTCTACTCAGCATTTGCTGATTCAACTGTGCTTTTGTGTTTTAGAGGTAACTTCTTTTCTTTCAACCTCATTCTTTCGGGTTTAGCCTTTGCTTCTACATTTTCCTTACTTCTCTTAGTCTTCCTAGAATTGAAGAGAGTAAAGCCCTTGCTTTGAATTAGTCTTTGGTTTGAAGGATCTGAAGGACAATAAAGTGAAACCAAACAAATGAAATTACTTGCTTTCAATGCAGTTTGAGAGTTAAAAATTATAAGAGGAATCCAGAAACAGTTAATCCTGTCTGTAGTGATAAGATGGGTATCTGTTCTCTCTTGGTGAGATTGTAAGATAGACTGGCCATAGGTAGCATGGTTTAATAGAATTAGAACTAGACCATATATTAGTCAGGAAAACAAGCCACACCAGCTATTTTGATTCTGAGTTACTCATCATGTAATTGAGACTGAAAAGCCAGGGGGGACCAAGTAATGCAGAATCAGTTGAGGTAGTGGCCACTAAACCTGGGGTTAAGTTTGTACCTAATAGAGCCTAGTAGCTTGAAGGAGCAGTGGGTCATGTGGCGCTCCTAACATGAAAATGACTTTGGTTTGGATGAATGAATTCTAGAGGAACTAGGCAGAGGTCCACAGAGCTCCCATGCCAAATCTCTGTTTGACACAGAAAGTAAGGGATCCAAGTTCACCATGTGAACTTAGTTATACCATGTTAGGCAAGACACCTTGTAGTCATCTATACATAAAAGAAACAAGTTTATTTCTAATATATTTCCCTACTCATATAGTAAAAGATGGGTAGAGTCTTTGTGTTCAGTTGAAATGTGAGAAGTTTTTGTTTTTTTTTGTCTTTTGAGACAGGGTCTCACTATGCAGTTCAGTCTGGCCTTCAACTCATTTTGTAGCCCAGGCAGATCTTGAACACAGCGATCCTCCTGCCTCAGCCTCCCCAGTGCTGGAATTACAAGGGTGTGTCACCGTACCCCGCTTGATAAAAACAAGTGTTAATGATAAACATACACATTTGATAAGACTTATTACTGTTTTTAATAACTCATGTATATAATTTGATATCAGATTTTACATCTTGTTCATGTGCTCATATCTTAACAAAAATTCTATATATAAATTATTTAATACATTTTTAAAGGTTACCTTATTTGGACATTTGATTACTATAAATTTTGTAGTTGTTTTGCTTATTTTTAAAGTTAGGTTTTTAGGAACAAAATTCATTTCTCAAAGATTACAAAATAAAAAAGACTGAATTGATTTATTCTTTGAGCATATCTATGTAAATATATACTTACTATTATATTTTGTGTCTAGTTTTCCCCCCAAAGCCTCATGCAGTCATGGGGTAGCTTCTAGAGTTTATGATTAATTAATGATCTAGGGCTAGGATTGTGGGTGTGGGTGCTGCATCTACCCTAGGATGGATAATCTGCATCACAACGTAAGGAGGGAGCAGGTAGCTGCTCCAGCCACTGCCTCTCCTTTTTCTTTTTGGTGTTTTCCACTGCCATGAACCTCTGCTGTGTGCCACTCTGCCTTGGAAACCTCTACTGTGAGCTAAATAAACTTTTTTTCCCCTAATTTTGGGTGCTGGCTATTTTGTCCCAGCAATGAGAGAAAAGTAACTGAGACTAAGTTTTCCAACTGAGAAAAAAATAATCTTTTGCTTTACCCTCCTCCAGGAAGAATTCATTTGGCTATCGGAAGAAAAGAGAGGAAAAGTTTGCAGTGAGTATATAAAGCATATATCACTTTAACAAGACATGTAACTCTTAACTCTGAATAAACATTTAATTAAGTTAATTAAATGGATTAATGCTAGGACATGAAAAGGAACATTTCAAAGACTTTCTTTTAATGTGATGTCTATCAGTAATAACTGACATCTAGTGATCTAAAGAAGAAATTCTGGAGTTCTTAGAAATTGATTACTATATTAGTCTCTTAGTGCTGCTCCATAGTTTGTAGATACATGTGCTGTAAAATGGGCAACCAGTAGTTACTCTTGCACATACTGCAGGCTACATGAGTGTGTGGATTAGTTCTTCAGTGTTGGGAACTCTTACACAGTGTAAGACACAGAAGTTTCTTACCCTTTATCAATGGAGGATATTCTAAAAATGTTCTAGTGCTTCCAGTGGATGCCTGAAACGTAGGTGGTACCAAACCCTGTAATTTATTTTCTTTTTCATCTGAACTGTGCTCTTACCACATACTGTGCTTATAACATGTGTAATATGAGATGCAACAGCAAGCTAGCAGAAAATTCTTTTTCTTCCTTCTCAAACCCATGGATAGAAGACTCATTCTTACTGTAGCTCTTAGGAGCTTTAGCATAAGAGTTTTCTTAAGCCAAGAGCTTTCACTGTTTCACTTTAAAAGAAGCACTTTGGGGTTTCAATTTAACACATCTACATTGCCAACATCACAGTTTTGCAGTTTAGGACCATAATTGGGACCACAATAAGAGCTGCTAGCACACAAGTGCAGCAGTGTCACACAGTTGAGCTGATGATGGAGATGGCTACCAAATGGTAAGGGATGGGTAGTGTCTAACAGTGGTACAGTGGGCAGAGGAGTGATTCACATCTCAGGCAGGACAGTACAGTGTTCATCATGCTACTTAGAACAACACAGTTTAAAACTTAGGAATTTTTTATTTCTTAGATTTTCTTTAGTATTTTGGCCAAAAACAAAACTACAGAAAACAAAACTGCCAATAAGGGGTACCACTGTAACTGGAGCCATTTCGTTTCGTCAAGCCTAATTAGCTTCCTGTGTGTAGGAGTTTGTTCATCTTTTTTATTGAATGTGACATCTCCCCACTATATATGAAACATTTTTTTCCTTTCCACTATAACTTAAGACAGAATAAACTCAAAAATAAGTAATAAGTTTGTGTGCATGTTAAGTGAGACATGGTCATTTAGTTTGAATTAATTAAACAATTTCTCTTAAGGAAAGTATTCTGACTTAAATTTAAGAGAGTCTGGGATTTCAACACAGCTGGTATGAGATTATTGTGGAAGAATCAGCAGTGTGGTTAAAAACACCCAGTGGTGTCTTGAAGGAAGTTACCCAGTGGACTTGCAAGTATAGGATTCCATACCTAGAAACCTGGAAAAACCTTAAAACTCTTGCTCTACCCCTTGAGCCATCATGTATGTGCTGCTTAGCTCAAATGTGCATTCTGTCTGTTTAGAGCTAGAAATTCTCTTTTTACTGAAGTCAGTCTGGTCTAGGTTGGGCTAGCCCTTTGGTAAGGCAGTTTATATTGGATCATTCCATTTGGAATTAATGATTCCCTATGATCATTTAAACTAGGAAGGTTGTTTTCTGCATCTCTATTATAAGACATCATGCTGTGATGCCTGCCAGGAAACAATCCCACTTACATTTTTGATTCTTCTCCTTCTCTTCCTCCCTTTCTCCTCCTCCCCCTCTTCCTCCTTCCTCTCTTCCTTCTCACCTCCTCTCCTTCTCCCCTCCTCCCCTCCTTCAGTCCTCTCCTCTCCTCCTCTTCCTCCTCTTCCTCCTCCTCCTCCTCCCCCTCCTCCCCTTCTCTGCTCTTCCTTCTGCTGCTGCACTGCTTATAACGGTGATGGCAAACTTCTTAGAGCTTTCAGGGATAACAAAGAGCCCACTGCTATTCGTGTGCCATTTCTTCTCTTCCTGTTGCTGCTGCACTGCTTATCACAGTGATGGCAAACTTTTGAGTTTTCAGTGATAACAAATAGCCCACTGCTATACGTGTGCCATAGGATCACCACCACTGACTTAGAACTTCTAGGAATACAGAATAGTACTAATTGTTGTATCTAAATGAGTTTTTAAAATTTTTACAGACAAGTAGCAAATATATCAGCATTTGGACTTATCTAATAGCAGCATTCATACCTGATCCCAAAGGCATTCAAATCCTAAAAAATACAAAAGAGCACTCACTATATCTTCAAAATCAAGCCTCATAGGTCCTATCGTTTTCCGACTTCAGCATATTGCTTACCTCCCTTCTCCTGAAAAACAGAATTTGATACTTTTTTGGGGGAGGAGGAATCATGACTGTCTACTTCTGAAAGGCTACATTCACCCCAGACACAGGAAAATCTTTTAAATAAAGCCTCTAAAACTAAAACTAACTTTGAAGGGCTGGGGAGATAGCTCAGTAGAATAAGCATGTGCCTGGCAAGCCCAGGGTCCTGAGTTCAACACCCAGTACCGCAAAAGAAAACAATTTCATAAAATTAACTTCGAAGTCATTGTGTTTTGTATATAACTTAGCAATACACTAGATTGAGAGTTTTGTTCATTATGATATGTTATAGGGAGCATGTAACTGTTAGGTGATTAATAAGCACAAGTTAGGGAAAATTAAGCTTAATAGCAGACACCTGCACCACTTGAAAGTCAAGAAACAGGCAAACATGCCCAAAAAGAGTGGGATTTCAGTCAGCATGAATCCGTTTTTGTCCTTTATCCTCCTCTTTATTGAGCTCTCACATATTCTCTAGAATCTGCTCACATGGGGAACAGTTCTTTCAACAGAGATTGTGGGAGATTTTTAACTTGAAGTCAGGTGGACCTCAGGATTGTTGGGACTTCAGGCTTTTTTCAGGCTACTTTCGGAATCATAGTTCTTTGCTTTATTCGTGCTGTGCCTCTCTGTGTCTGTATAACTTTACGGGGTTTCGTTGTATTGCAGAGCAGTCAGACTCAGTCTCCAACACCACCGAAGCCTCCATCACCAAGCTTTGAACTGGGGCTGTCCAGCTTCCCCCCATTACCTGGAGCTGCGGGGAATTTGAAGGCAGAAGACTTGTTTGAAAACAGGCTTTCTAGCTTGATAATAGGATCATCAAAAGAAAGAGTAAGATTTTCATTACAATTCTAGTAGTAGCTGGCATTTACTAAGCACTTACTTTGACCAGGGGCTTTGAATACTCATAAGAGGTTTGGAGGGTTCAGGTAATTTACAAGTCACACAGGTATGGAGTAGTAAGATCAATGTTGAAGCCAGGACCAGGCTGTCTGTCTTCTTGTTGTCTGCTAAGGTCAGAGATGGAGTCTGCACCATGATGTCCTAGGTACACTCTCATGAAGACACTTAGGTTTTGTTTTCATGGTTGTTCAGATCCCCTTCATTTCACAACAGAATGAAAGAAAATCTGAATTATACTGGAAGCAATACAATTTTTAGTAATTACATGAGATGAGTAGCAAGAAACCTATAGTCACTTTGCTGTAATTCGTTGGCCTTGGGGTGAACTTTATAGGTTATCATCCAGAATGATTTTAGTGTGGTATTCATCATCCCAGGAATCAACTAGAGCTGCTTAAGTCAAGGAAGGCAGCTTCTCATTGGTTTTCTGTACTTTAATGTAGCTAATGGGTGCATAGTAGGATTTGTCCCCCTACTAGGATCAGTGTTTGAAGGCTCTAGGAAAGTACAAAGAATGGCTTTCTGCCCTATAATTAATGATGCATTGGCATCCCTGGGAGAGCTTGTGGAGCAGTACTGGTTATAGGCATTCCTTATACTGTATTGCAGTTCTCAACTGTGTCTGTACATCAGAATTATCCATATGTCTTCTTCCAGTATAAACCACAACAGCTACCCTTTCTACTGTCCCAGATCTGTGGAGTCAGGATCTCCATTATCTCTGGATTTGGGGAAAAGGTACTGTTTCACAGTCTAAGTTTAATACTGCTGTAGTAAATACATTAATTCTCAGTTAAAGCAGTTTTAAGATTAATTTTGCTGCAGTATTTTAAGACTAAGTTTAGGTGAAGTGTTCAGTCCTTTTCATATTGGTTGGTGGTAATTGGCCCTGTTTCTTTAGTCTTGAGAGTTGTGGGCATTGCAAGATGCTGGTTTTTTTCTGGTAATGGTTACATGTTAGATTTGACATGTTTTGTAAATTATTCTACATGTTAAATTTCTGTGCAATAATTTCTAAGTTATTCCCACTATGTAGTGTGGTGTTAGAGTGTTACAGCACTTAAACAGTCATAAATTCTGGTTTTCAAGTTTTGATCCGACCCCCTGGGTGATGATAAAACAAGAGGCGGGCTCTTCCCTGGCTTCAAAAACAGTAGCTACTACTTTGTACACTTTGAGTTTCTGTGTAAAATTTCTTTTGAAAGAATAATACTTTTAAAAAGCCTGAGCCTAAGGGCCAGCCAAATAGCTCAGTAGATTAAAGCACTTGCAAGCAGGGACAAGGGCAGGGAGTTAAATCCATGGGCCTGCCCTGATGGCCCTGCTGCTGAGGCACACTGAAATGGGGAATGAGACTGGGCGTGGTGGCACACACCTGTAATCCCAGCACTTGGGAGGCTGTCAACAGGCAGATCACTACAAGTCCTATCTAGTAGTGAGACCCTGACACCCTGTAGATCCTTGCCTAAAATACAAAATAAAAAAAATTAAAAATGAATAAAAAGTCTGAGCTTAATTTCATGGTTTCATTACCTAGTCTGTATTGTTGCTGCTTAGTAGCACATCTGTACTTGCTTTTTACTGGACACTTGATTATAGAGCTGCAAGGAGGGACTTCAGAGGGAGGCAGTGTAGCCCACTCTTAATGGTGTGAGGTCTGTGGTCACTCTGAACTCTTCACGCAGTGCTGAAATATATATGTATTTAAGTAGCATCAGAACAGAACATAACTGAATATCAGCACACTTTTACAAAAGGAAACTTTTTTTCCCATGGCTCTACTAAGCTAGTGGCCTTCAGCTTGAATATAGTCATAAAAGATTCTGGTTCTCAGACTGGAAAGGCTTCAGAGTCTGTACCTCTTTTATTTC